CCTGTACTGCGCTGTAATGTTCTATGTTCTAGGTTCTAGATTACTTTAGGATATCTGGCTGGCATGGACAAGTTAGACCGAAGAGTCTGTTTCTGTGCTGTACAACTCTATGACTTGGTAATGACTGCCACTAGTCCAGACTGAAGTATCACTTTATGTATACAAAACCAACTGGTCTAGCACTAGTCATTTCCAAGGATTAGTGTTTTTTCCCCCTTCTGGTGCAGAGAAGGTGGTATAAATAATATCACATTAGATCTTTCAACTAACAAGTTTATAATACTATAAATGAATCTGTATGCAAGTTGGTCAGAACTGTAGAATGTTAGCAGCACGGAAAGAGACCATTGGCCCATTGTGTTTGTACTGGTTCTTTACTGGAGCAGTCCAAAACTAATCCCTCTGCTTAATAAAACCACAATAGTACACAGTACAGGAAACAGCCATTTGATTTATCGGACAAACAAACTACGAAATCCTTTGTATAGTTTAATAAGGCTAGTTTTCTGTCTGTTGTTGAATTCCTCAGAGTCCCAAGAAAGCTCCACAATTGCTATGACAGCAAAGCTTCATGATTGTTGAACAATGAAAGAACCGTTAACGAGGTAAGATTCCATGACTGCCTTCCAGAAGCAGTGCTGCTAACGGTTTCTGGCGCTGACAAGTTGTTTTTCTTTTTCAAACTAAATAGAGACATTTTAGCGATCTTCAGTAAGGCCTGATCATCTTTAAACTAAAATAGAAGTGACATACACTGTGGGTAATGGCTGTGCCAGGGTTAACTTGTATAGGGAAAGGGGACAGCCAAAACTAGAGGCTGAAAAGTTTAGCTTTAACAAATGTCTGAGCTTGCCAAGGCTGGAACCTTTTCTTTTGTCTGAAGCCAATAAAATTTGTCTTGGCTCAGGAACCAATTGGTCTCTCAAGCCAAATTCTTTTCCAGTTAGGATTCAAAGCCACTGTGGCAGTGGGTCTCATGCCAATCCTTTTGACACATCTTGCTCCACTGATAAGCTAAAACTCACGGCCAAGTGAGATGAAAACTTGAACAACTGATTATATTTGTCATTGAGATGTTTATTAGTTTTAAATGGTCTTCAAAATAAAAGGGAAGCTCACAGGAAGCCATATACATAAATGTAATTGGCTCAAAACTTGCTCTATAAGTTAATTATGGGGATCAGGGAGCTGTTAACTGTATCGCTTACTGGACTGCTTGTTCTCTGCCACAGGATTTGGTGCCAGTAATATTTCACAATGCAGCCCCAGGTAGTCCATGAAGAAAGTCACAAAATGATTGAAGAACAAGAAACAACAGCAAACAAAATGAACAGATGCCACACACTTTAATAATGAATTAGTTCTCATTCACAGTTACTAGAGACCATACTGATTTAGCAATTGCATAATCCAGTTTGGAGCAGTTTTCTTATAATAAATAACAAGTAAATTGGGAGTAAATCTCTGTGCATTCAATACAATCTTTCAATTTGACTAGCATTAGGTTTTTTTGGGGTTGGGTTCAATTTTTAGTATTCCAACTGTGATTGCAAATAAAGCTTTTGAACCAAATATACAGATTCCTTCCCTCACAGGGCATTTAGTGCCCTGTAGTGTATTTTAATTGAAGTTCACAAACAAAATGATGCCAAATCCACAACTAGAGTTAAATCACTATATGGCAATGCTTTGCGTATGTTTTAGTCATTGCTGTTTCTGTCTTAAAGCTTAATTTGTCAGGTAACCTGATTTGAAAAATAAATTTCCACTTTGCAGATAACAATCACTTTTAACAACGAGAAAATGAATTCCAAATACAGCAAAATATCATTCTCTTCCACACAGTTTGTTGATGCGCAATTCTGTTTTCAGAATAAAAATACCATACTAGATCTATTTGTAGGTAAGTACAAATCTAAAATTGCAAATAATTTTAATTTTGTTTTTGACTGGGATCTGGATTTTTGTCACGACTTTAATATTTTGATTCAGGGCTGATAATCGGTCTGGTTTCTAGATAAATCGTCACTTCGCTTACTGGCTCCACAGTAAGAATGAGGTCATAATTTTCCAAGACTCCATGAAATTAACACGGATCTCATATGCTGGCTTATTGTAAAATCAGGAATGCTTCGCTGGTTGTCAATTAAATTCAGTGAACGGGCATCTTGGAAAATTTCTTCTCTGGCATTTAACTTTCTTCTCTGCACTAAGGATGCAACAGCATCTGTGAATAGGTGAAAATGAATATGTACTCTTTGACTACAGAACAATGTTCTCTGCTCAATTTTTAGTCTCACTTCTTTTCACTTGTCATGATAAGATGAAGTTTACCTTGGCTCTGTTGGTATACCTCTCTCTTTATTTTGGTCAGGTTTTAAGCAAGTAAAGATGAGTGGAGTGAAATTAATCTGGACAATGCCAGCAAACAATTGTTTTACAAAAATTTATGGTATTTTAGTTATGACCTGTTCAATTTCCATTAAAACAACAAACAGATTACATCTGAACAAGTAAAACATCTCTATGCAGAGAGTGCTTTTCCCATGCATAAGAAATGCGGAAGCTGCATTCCCATTGGGCTGCAGATCAGATAGGGAGTTGCCAGGGTGTTCTCTCCCCTCTGCCCAATGATAGTGGTGGAACATCCAGCCAATTCTAATGGTTAGCCTGCCAATTGCAGGTGTACAGGAAATCCGCCAACTGGTGGAACATTGCCAGCAGCATTCAAATAAGGGTGGGAAGCAGCTGTTCACAAAGAGGAAGATTGGTTAAATGGGGGAGGCAATGGTATGGACGATCTTGGGTGATTTTTATTGGACGAGGAGGTGCATTCAGTACTTCTGAATTTCCCTGGATCAATTTTCAAACAACTTCCTTTTGTTCCTTGAGGGACTGCTGATTAGGCTGCCTCATGCTCAAATTTCACAGGACCCCACATTTTTTTAGAATTCTTTCATGGGAGGTGGAATTGCTGGCAAGGCCTGCATTTATTGCCCATCCTAAACTGTCTTGGAACTGGATGGCTTGCCAGGTCAATTCAAAGAGTAGTCAAGAGTCAACAGCATTGCTCTGGGTCTGGAGTCACATAAAGGCCAGATTGGTGGTAATGTATTAGATTTCCTTTCACTAAGGAGCATGAGTGAACCAGATAGGTTTTTACAACAACTGATGACAGTTTCACAGTTATCATTAATGAGACTAGCTTTCAATCCTAGATTTTACTAATTGAGTTTAAATTCCAACAGCTGTTGGGTGGATTTAAACCCTTGCTCCCAGAGGAGTTTGGGGGTTTCGATTTTCCAGCCCAGCAACATTACCACCAAGCCACTGTCTCAGCCACATTCATAAGGCTCCATCCTGCTCCCAGTCATAAAACTGGTGGCTAAACTGAAAACTGCATCAGGTGGGACTTTGGCAACTGGCAGGCAGAGAGCTTCATTTTTCTGTTTTGATCTTGCTGTGCTCTGTTTAAGTTGAAAAGCAGAGCAGAAGTGAAATGGAAGCATCTGATGGAAGCAGCTGACTCTTGTATAAAAATGCCAGGACTCTGAGGTGGCTGGTTCAGTTTTAATGAAGCTGCCTGCCTCTGTGTGTCTTTTATTTTACTTTTAAAAGTTTCTGACATTGAGTAGGGGTTAGGAGAAGTATTGAGATTCCCAGCTTATTATTTTGTTCAGTTAGAGGCAACGACCTGCAGAGAAGAAGAAAAACCCACCCTTTACTTGAAAGAATGAGAAGGTTGGTAACTCTAAAAATTCCCCATCAAGAAATAACAGCAAATGGTTGTCTCAGCATTCCCAGGGGAAAAGTTTCAATTTAATAAGCGAGCGTCAGGCTTTTCATATTAGGAGTGCAAAATATCTGCTGTCTGTTTAATCAGTAGACTAACTGAGGTTCCACCTGAGATTGCTTAATTTGCCAATGTAACAAAAAGTAGGCATGAGCATTAGCAGCTGCTGCTTGCTTTATTCATGAATGACAGAAAATAGACCCCAAAAATGAACACTTCTAAAGTCAATCTCTCAAGTCACTAAATAATTTACACCATGTTTAAATCCTGATTCATGGGCTGTATTTTACAAATGTTTTAGTGGGTTTAAAAATTGAGATTCAGCATCAAATGGTTTTTAAATTGAGGTCAAGGGGACACGGAGTAAAGGACCAAGCTGGAAAAGACCATGGAAGATGATGAGATAAGTCTTAAAGCATTGAAAAGCTGATCAAAGTTTGGTATTTTAAAAGTCTTTCAAGTGGGATGTCAGTGTTCGATGCCAGCTTTAAGGTCTGCTGCAAAACTGAATTTAGTCAGGCTGACTCTATCTGAAGACCAAGTTGTTTTTTAAGAAACTGTAAACTATTCATCAAATCTCAAGGTAAATTGCTGATGCTCCAGAATTTTGAACATGTCATCCACATTCATCTTGAAAAGGGCAAAACTAATTTCAGTAACTCTGAATTCATTTTGTTCATTTTTTATTAATAATATGGTTCTCTGGCCAGATTGCAATGCATCAACTGTGTTTGAGAGGCAGCTACATTTGCAGGAGATTAAGAAAGTTGGAAATCACAGGGAGAAATCTCTCAGTATGTTGCTAAGGTCAATCAATAAATATCAGATTTCTAGTTCACTATCAATTTTTACTGAGAGCAACTTGATGTTGAATCACCCGACCTCCTTTATTGCACATTCAGTAATACAGTGATATCCCTTCAGTATCCCGATACCAAGAGACACTGCAACAAAGTAATGCTTACATCAAATGTAACAGATTCTGAAGCATAGACCACTAAGAATAGAAACATAAACATGCTAAATTTTATAGAAAGTTTTGCAGTTTTCTAACAGAAACAGAAAACACAATATAACTGACACGCCAAAAGGTCACAATGAAACTAGAACAAAAGCTATATTGAAAATAAATATGTATGGTAATGGTTTTTAAATATATAATGCAAAGACTTTGTGAGATGACTGACAGATGGCTTCAGTAAGGTTTCATGCCTATGGCATGCAGCTGTAAGAGGACAACTGTGATGTGATGGAAGTTGTTCAGGTAAGGACAGGTGTATTTTCAGGATCCAAATCCCTCAGCTGGAGGGGCTCATTACTTACTCCTGTCTCATATATGGGATTGTCGAATGCTGATTCCACGGTGATGTGGTTGTAAGGATGAGGGCCGGCCAGTGGCAACCTTAATGTGGACTTTCCCTGGAACCTGGGAAGAGAAGTGAAGTAAAAGAGGCAATCTCAGCTTTGTCAAAACTCTTCATGGAGATAGAACACTGTGCACTAGGCAGCGGCTGCAGACACTCAGTTCTTACAGGAGCTGAGCATCAATGGATCTGCTCACTGCAACAACTTCCATTAATATACCACCTTTAACATTGTAAAACACGCCAGGCCCTTGACAGGAATGTCAAACACAAATTTGACACTGAGCTAGAGGATATATTGGAATAGGTGACCAAATGCTTGGTTGAAGAGGTAGGTTTTAAGGAGTGTTGTAGAGGAGGAGAGAGGGAAAGAGAAGTGGAGGGATTTAGTTGGGTATTCCAGATCTTGGGGTTTAGGCAACTGAAGGCACGGCCACCAAAGGTGGAACAATGAAAATCAAACAAGCATCATTGTGACAGCATGGCACTGTCTCTATCTCTGGATTGGGGTAGGATTGGAGCAGATTTCAAAGACAGAAAGGGGCAAGGGGATGGAGGGATTTGAAAAAATGATGAATATTTCAAAATCAATATATTGTCAGACAGAGAGACAATGCAGGACTGTAAGTACAGAAGAGATGAGTAAATGGGACATTGTGCAGCCTGGATAGAGGCAGCAGAGGTTTGGATGAATATACATTTACAAAGAGTGGTAAGGGGGACCAGGACACCATTGCATTAACCACATCAGCAGGCACTGAAAGCACGAATGAGGGTTTTAACAGTAGATGAGGTGAGGTTAGACAGAAACAGTAAGCACTTACAGAGCATTCAGCGCTACCTGAACTTGGCAGTTTTTAAAATTTAGCTCATAAACTAAGCTGTAGATAAAAAGCAAGTAGCTGAGCCATATAAAACAGAAAATGTTCCAGGCTTAATGGCCAGTTTGTATTAAATTTATTGATCAGAAGTGAGGTTTTAATGTATCTTTGCTCGTTTGGGGAAAATAAGCTATGGTTCCCATTTCTGTTTGTTAATTGCTGCTAGAATTGTGCATGGGAGGCTTTGAATGAGGGTTCCAAATGAAGTTAAGGTGGGAGCTATATTTTTAAAACAAGTACTTAGCTGACCGAAAACTGGCTTATAGGAAGAGGTTTTGAATTAATTAGGCGATTAGCAGAGTTTGGCAATGCTCCTATCAAATGACAACCATATCAAATGTTGATATTTTATTGAGGGAACTTTCTAATTGTGAGATTCCAGCTAGATAACTCATTGAATAGAAAATCAAGCTGGCTTCCTATTGAGCATGCACTTTACCCATCCCTTTCCCCCTCAACTTTCGTGTTCACTATATTTAGGCAATCTAGAATACCCTGGCACAGGGAGAAACATAGAAAGCAAAGACCTGATTGTTTAAAATGGCAACTTTCAATTTTAAGTGTTAAGGTACTTTAGTTATCAATATTTCCCCAATGTGTTCTGGTTTGCATCCTTGAAAACCTGAAAAACCTTTTGAATAAGTTTTAACTTAAAACTGCTCAAATCAAAACTACTGTCCATGTTTCTGTCTGCAAAGTGATTTCCAATTGTTCTGATAATATTTAATCATTTTCAAGCCTGGCTACTGATAGCTGGATTATAGTAACAGAGTGGGAGCTCCTGCCCACCATTCTCTTTTGTGAGTTTCTGATATCCAAGTGATTTGGCACAAAACCTCAGTGCTTGTTCACAAGACAAAATCAACCTGGACAGTCCTCATGTCCATTTATATGCCTTGTTCCCAGCAAGAAGTGAGCTGTGTATGAATTAGGTGAGGGAAATGGAGACATGAAGCTATGAACCAAAGATAAGTAGGAATGTATGACATGAAGAAGCGATAAGGCTTTTGTGTACAGATATAGATTAAGTGAGTGAGTAAAAATCTGGCAGACGGAGTATAATGTAGGAAAACATTTAGTTGTTCACTTTGCCAGGAAGAATGGAAAAGCGGAGTTTTACTACAATGGAGAATGACTGAAGAATTCTGATATGCAGAGTGATCTAGATGCTCCATTACTGGAGTCACAAAAAGTTAGAATGCAGGTACAACATATAATGAAGAAGGTTAATGAGATGCTATTCTTTATTATGAGTTGAGTTAAACATAAAGTTGGGATTTAATGGTTTAGCTCACCTCCACCTTCTCAAAGGCAACGAGGAATAGGCAATAAACGTTGGCTCAGCCAATGATGCCCACATCCCATTCATGAATATTTATATAGGGCATTGGTGAGATCTCATCTCAAATACTGTTAACAGTTTTGGCCTCCTTATCTAAGGAAAGATGTAAATGCATTGCAGGTGGATCAGATGAGATTTACTAGAGTTATATGCAGAATAAGTGGGTTATTTTTTGAGGAAAGCGTGGACAGGCTGGGCTTGTTACTACTGAATCTGGAAGAAGGAGGGCTAACGTGATTGAAGTGCATAGGAAAGCATGGTTCTTCTCGTGGGTTGAGTCCAGAACTAGGGTTCACCGTTTTCAAATGAGGGGTTGCACTTTAAGATGAAAACAAATGTTTCTCTCAGAGGATTACATGATTTTGGAACTCTCCGTCTCAGAAGGAGGGGAAGCAATCATTGAATATGTTTAAACTGGAGGTAGATAGATTCTCGTTAGGCAAAGGAATTCAACATTTTTGGGGGTAGATGAGATTGCGGAATTTTAAACAAAAATAAATCAGCCATGATCTCATTCATTGGCAGAGTAGGCTTGAGGCGGTCAGATGGCCTACAACTGCTCCTACTTTTGTGTGTTCCTCTATCTGTTTTTCTCCCCCTGTTTCTCAAAAGGGACATTTTCAAACACAAGCAAATTCAAAAATACAGCTGATTGGGAATGAAAGCTTCTGCAATGTGCTACTTGGAAACTGTCCTTAATTTTCCTTTAATTTTAAACATATTTTGTGCCCAGGTTGGCAATCATGCTTGAGGTTTAAACCCCAATCCATGATGTGCAGTCCTTACGTGTGTCAAATAAATATTGTTCATTGAACCCCTGGCGTCACATTCACAAAGAAGGTATTCAAGGCTTTTGAGAAGATTTGTAGCTCAGGTTGTTAATGCAGTTGTTTACTTGCTGATCGAGCTGATAAGTTAATTTGCAAACGTTTCATCACCCTGCTAGGTAACATCGTCAGTGCGCCTCCAGTGAAGCATCGGTGTTCTGTCCTGCTTGCTATTTATGTGTCTCACTTTGCTGGTGTGGGTAGCATCGCTTCTGGATTTGTTTCTTAGTGGTTGGTATATGGGGTCCAGCTCTACATGTTTGTTAATGGAGTTCCGGTTTGAATGCCAGGCCTCCAGGAATTCTCGTACATGTCTTTGCTTAGCTTGTTCTAGGATGGCTACATTGTCCCAGTCGAATTGGTCTCCCTCTTTGTCCATGTGTATTGAAATGATAGTTGGTTATGCCTCTTGGTGGCTAGTTGGTGTTTGTGAATCTTGATGGCTAGTTTCCTTCCGGTTTGCCCTTTGTAATGTTTTTGACTGTCTTTGTGTGGTATCTTGTAAATAACGTTGGTTCTGTTAGTTGTGGTTGCTGGATCCTTTATTCTCGCCAGCAGCTGACGAGTGTAGCTGTCGGTTTGTGGGCTACCGTGATTCCTAGGAGGTGGAGTATTCTGGTGGTCATTTCAGATACGTCCTTAATGTATGGAATGGTGACTAGTGTCTCTGGACGTGTTGTGTCTTCCTGTTGTGGTCTGTTGTGTAGGCATCGGTGGACTACATTTTTCGGGTAACCATTGTTTCTAAAGACGCTGTAAAGGTGTTCTTCCTTGGCTTTGCGTAGCTCTGGGGTGCTGCAGTGTGTTGCTGCTCGCTTGAACAGTGTTTGGATGCAACTCCATTTGTGGATATTGGGATGATTGCTATTGTAGTTGAGTACCTGATCCATATGGGTGGCCTTCCTGTGTACGCTGGTCTGGAGCTCACCATTGGCCTTACGTTCGACCTTTACATCCAGGAAGGGAAGTCTGTTGTTGTTCTCCTCTTGTCTGGTGAAGATGTCGTTTATGAGTAGATGGGTTTCCTCCAGTTTAGGGCGTTTGATGGTGACAAAGGTGTCATCCACATAGAGGATCCATAGTTTTGGTTGGATGATGGGAAGGGCTGTCCATTCCAGTCTTTGCATTCCGGCTTCCGCTATTAATCCTGATATCAGTGATCCCATGGGTGTTCCACTGATTTGTGTGTGTACCTTGCCGTTGAAGGTGATGTGGGTTGTGAGGCACAGATCCAGTAGTTTGAGGGTGCCATCTTTGCTGATGGTGTTGGTGATGTCGGGTAGCTGTATCCCTGGTCTATCTATCAGTGAGGCTAATGTTTCCTTAGCTAGGGGGATGTTTATGGAGGAAATAGTGCAGTCACATCGAAGGAGACTATGATCTCATCCTCATCTATTCTGGTGTCCTTATTGATGTTGAGGTATTCTTCAGCAGAGTGGATGGAGTGGTTTGAGCCATCTACTAGGTGTTTCAGTCTGCTTTGTAGTTCTTTCACTAGTCTGTATGTCGGTGTACCTGACCATGAGACTGTGGGTCTGAGGGGGACCTCCGGCTTGTGTACCTTGGGGAGACCATAGAAGAGGGGTGTGCAGCACCCTGGAGCTACACAAAGCCAAGGAAGAACACCTTTACAGCATCTTTAGAAACAGCGGTTACCCCAAAAATGTAGTCCACCGCTACCTACACAACAGACCACAACAGGAAGACACAACACGTCCAGAGACACTAGTCACCATTCCATACATTAAGGACATATCTGAAATGACCACCAGAATACTCCATCTCCTAGGAATCATGGTAGCCCACAAACCGACAGCTACACTCGTCAGCTACTGGCGAGAATAAAGGATCCAGCAACCACAACTAACAGAACCAACGTTATTTACAAGATACCACACAAAGACTGCCAAAAACGTTACACAGGGCAAATTGGAAGGAAACAAGCCATCAAGATTCACAAACACCAACTAGTCACCAAGAGGCATAACCAACTATCATTTCAATACACGTGGACAAAGAGGGAGACCAATTCAACTGGGACAATGTAGCCATCCTAGGACAAGCTAAGCAAAGACATGCACGAGAATTCCTGGAGACCTGGCACTCAAACTGAAACTCCATTAACAAACACGTAGAGCTGGACCCCATATACCAACCACTAAGAAACAAATCCAGAAGTGATGCCACTCACCCCAGCAAACCGAGATACATAAATAACAAGTGGGACAGAACACCAACGCTTCACTGGAGGCTCACTGATGTTGTTACCTAATATGGTGATGAAACGTCTGCAAACTTACCAGCTCGGCGAGCAAGTCAACAATCACAAAAAGAATGTGTTTTCACTAAGGGCAGGTAGTTCTTCTATTGAAATAAGACCTAACAGACAATGCAGCTTGGTTCACCATATTTTAGATGAAAGCATCCTACTATTAATAATGAGAAGATTGTAACCCTTAAATCCTTCATGAAGTTAAGAAATATTTATTCAATTTCTGAGTAATGACCTCTGCCTGTCTATTCATAAAACATATTGTCACAACATGAAAATGATTAATTAACTTTGCAATAAGAAAAATGCGATTTCATAAGATGCCTTCAATGAAGCTTTAAACAGCAAGGCTACTCATTAATATCCTTCATTTTCTACCCTTGCTTTCATAAAAAAATTATTGTCAATCTGCTGTAGACGTTAAATAATGTGTGTTATTAAGCTTAGCCTCTGCTGTTAATCTTGTATTTTCTGCAACTACTCACTTTGTAAAGTAGAAATAGATCGCAGCGATGAGGAGAGCTACAATGATCATCGGGATGAATACTGCAATGGCAATATGACTTCCTTGCATCTGGCTCAGAGAGCTTGCAGGCTTGGCCACTGCAAGAGAAACAGGCATCTTACACACATGAAATAATAGGCACCTTCTATTTGACATCCACACCATTTACACATTATAAAGTATACATTTAAGAACAGCTCGTCACCAAGTACATTTCCTCATTTGAATTTTCTTTATCAAATAGAATAGAAAGACATGAATTAGATGCTGGTTTTTACAAGCACTGGATGTGTAGTAAATGAAGTACTTTTTAAGATGTAATCACTGATGTGAGGAAGGAAACATTGATGGTAATTGGCATAACAAACTCTCACAACAGCAGTAGACTAATGACCAGATAATTTTTTTATAATGTTGATTGAGGGATAGATGTTGACCAGGGCACCAAGAATAAGTCTCCTGTTCTTCAAAATAGCATCATGGAATCCTTTACATTCACCTGCACAGGCAGACTCAACCTTGGTTTAACATCTCATCTGAAAGAAGGCATCTCTCACATCTTTAGTACTGCACAGGAGTGGTTTTCTGAATTCCTGTGCTGAAGCCATGGCATAGGACTTGAACTGGAACTTTGTGACTTATAGGCAAGAGTGGAACCAATGGTGGACCAACTTCATGCATCCACTGCTTTGTAATTGCTATTATAGATTCAGCAGTTTGAACTGTCCCTGGTAAGATATTTCAGATCTTAGCTATCGTCAGTGGGAAACAATTTCTCCAAATGGCCCACTTTAATTCATTTGGTGGTAATCTTAAATTCTTGCCATTCACCTACTTATTAGCCTACTGGTGGAAATACTTGTTTTCATTTATTTTGATGAAGACCTCATAATTTTGAACACCTCCATTAATTCTCCTGTTAACCGTTGCTCTGAGAAAGTAACCTCGATTTTTCAAATATCTCCTTACAAGTAAAGCCTAGTACCATTTTGGTGAGTGTCTTCTGCCTCCTCTCGATTGCCTTCTTCCATAGTAGGGTATCCAAAACATGAGGTTGGATTTCTAGGCCCTGTTTGAGCTGTGATCAGAGACAAGCATGAGCTACAAGTAGTGTTGGTGCCCTATGCGTCTGTTCCACAGGACCTAAGAATGAGAGCAGGGGTAGACAATTCAGCCCCTTAAACCTGCTCTATCCTTTAATACTCAGCATTAACTCAACTTTCCTGCTCACTCCTTAAACTGTTATTAATTAAAAATCTGTCCATAACCTTCTAAAATTTATTCAATACCCTGGCATCCACCACACTGTAGGGTTGTGAATTCCATAGATTCACAATTCTTTGAGGTATCCAATTCCTCTTCATATCTGTTTTAAATCTGCTGCCCTTTAGCCTGAAACTATGACCTCTCATTCTAGATTTCACAAGGGGAAACATCCACACTGTGAGTATTTTGTCAATTCCCTCTGGCGTTTTATATACCTCAATTAGATCTCCTCACATTCTTCTAAGCTGGAGTGAGTACAGGCCTAAACTATGCAATCTCTCCTCATAAGACAAGCCTGCTCCACCCTGCATGTTTAACGGAGGTAGGATTGGAGTGGCTAGTTGGGCCGGTCTGTAACTCAGGGCATTAATGGCCACAAAAGACCAATATAAGAGAACTGACACTGTCTCCAGGTTCCCAAAGGTGACTGGATCAATTTGACTTCTCTGGAGCAGCTTCTTGTTGGCAGACCAGGTGACCCTTCCTGGTATAGCTGCTATAGGTCATTCTCCCCAACCTCCATCACCCCACCCAAATCCACACCCCATCAATGCCCATTCATACCAATCGCCCCTCCCCGGATGGTGGCCTGACTGTAAATGCTAGTTTTAATTTGTAATAGTTGGAGGGACATGATGCCTCCATTCTGACATGCCATCTCCCTTACCTACCTAGCATTACAGGCTGCCTCTCTTTAACTGGCCAACTCCAGGGAAAATCACAATGAGTTACTGTTTCTCACTGAGTGCATTTGAGGCTAATGGCAGGGTTCAGAAGCCCTCAGGGAGGGGTCTCACTGCTGCATGCATGTATCCAATTTTTCAACAATTAGCAGCTGGTAACTTGCCTTCAGATTAATGTTGAAGATGTTTTATATTACTTATTGTGTATCTTCCTTTTTCCTTCACTGTACTTATTTATTTTTTAAACCAACATCATTTTCCCCCATTTGAGGAGTGCATTAAATTGCTTAAAATGGTCATGTTTACTTTTTTTGAAAAAGCTTTAAAGTAAAAAATTCACCTCCTGAATCTGGACATTTGTGGCATTGGAGCACTATACATATAAGTGTTTAAATGACGTCAGTGATCGAACCAAAAGGATGGTTCTGCCAAAGATCACCTGATTCTGCATTATAAACCCCAGAAATTGATCCAAGTCACACTTCCCCTTTTCAACATTAATCCTGCCAGAAGAATGTTCCTTCTTCTTCCCCAGCTTTCATCCTGGCCTACTTTTGTAATTGCCTGTAGCATTCTGTGTTTACATTTTCCATTCCCTTCACTGTTTTCTATGTCTCTGAGATCACCTCACCAGGCTGAAAGATGCAACTTTCTCCTGACTTTGATCATAATTCAGACTTTTGACTCTCACGTCAAAATCTGTACTTGGTAGAACTCTTGCTTTTGAGTCAGAAGCCTGGACGATTATACCCCAGAATGTGCCACCTTTTTAGCCCCCTTGTTTGACCACTGCAAAGATTTTATTTCTTTTTAGCACACAGCCACATCACAATTATAACGTAGTCCACTAGTTTAAAATTAAGGAGTCAGTGGCAAGTTTTTCTTGAATGAAGGGAAGTGGAATTTTATTAAATAATAATACTGAAGAGGTAATAAAATGTGATATTGAACACACACTAATATATGTGTAAAGTTTGAAAAGGAGTGAGCGCCTGGTATAGACAGCAAGGTAAAAGAACATGCAGTTTAACAATTCCATTGAGTCCTTGAGGTTTCAGTTAAACCCTAGCCTCTTAATTGATGTCATATATTCTCGGCAGTGGTAAGATTTACGGATACGTTTGAGTTTTTGGTAAATGGATTATTAGAATGGGCATTCCCGTTTCCTTTCATCACTGTGTATTGCCTTTTGAGAAGCTGAAAGAAAACAGGGAAGGAGAGAATCTTTCAGGTCTACTGTCATAAATGCACTTCGTTCTTTCAAAGGAACTGTATTAAATACAATTGATTGGTGTATTACCACGTTTGGCTTCATAGTTTTATCAAACTTGATAATTTGCTGGTAAGTCTTCCATCCCAATGTGTGAAGCTTTCCCATAAAGATGTATATCAAACATGAACTACACTTGAAAACATGGAATGTTTTTTGATAAGCTACTTCTTTCTTGGTGGTTTCCTAAACTGGTTCAATCTGTGTTCAGTTGACAGTTGGTGTTATTTAAAATCAGGGATGTTTTCTTTTAAAAGCCATTTTTAATCTATGAAGGTCCCAGGTATTAAAATCAGATGATGGAAGTCAAAAATTGGTAGCCGATATTTCCCCACTAACATAAAACGGGGTATTATATTGCTGGAGACATACCTAGACAGTCACTCAGCTGGATGTAAGAATCTTGTGGTATTATTCACAGAAAAGCAGGAGTGTTCCCCTGAACTGTATCAACATCAATCTTTCAGTCAACACCAGCAAACAAATTTAGTGGTCATTTATCTTATTACTTTTTTGGTACCTTGTTGTACAGGCAATGGCTGCTGAATTTCTTTATAACAATAACTGCAATTCAAATCAACAAAAGTAATTCATGGGCTGTATTTTATTTTGGGACATTCTGAGGATGAGAAAGTTGCTGTGTAAAATGCAGGTTCCTCCTTCTCAGATTAACAGCTCTTCTCTGTGCTGTTTTCAGAAGGGTCTCTCATAATTTGTATCATCAATTACTCTCAGCATTTTAAATGTCTTAGTCACAACTCCTCATCTATACTCCCTTTTTCTGATGAAAACAAATAAAATGCTTTCCTCACAACTGGGAGCTCCAAATACTGTTGTCATAATCACTGCTTTAATTGGAAACCCCTCCAATAAATGGAAGCCTGATTTTGAACCTTTACTCTGGTGGGAATGATGCTGTTGGGTGGTGGGGTTTGGAAGGTTTGAGCTCCATTCCTAAAACATTCCTGCAACACCCTTCCTCCACCAGAACTTACTGAATTCAAGCACAGAAGAGCTACCTGCCTCAGAAGAGTGAGACCTAATTAAAGTTTATGTTCTATTATTTTGTTCAGTTAGTTTGCGAGCGAAATTTCCCCTCGAACTGTAATCTGTATCCTTATAATGGAAGGCTGCTGGTGATATATATTGACTTGGCTTCACTCAGTTCCACAATCCTTAGGCTTATGTAAATTAGATTGTTCATTGTGTGCTAGTTTTCGATTTCCTATTCCAAGATGGAGCACCTTACATTTATCTCCATTAAGGCCTTAAAGCACATCTCATCACTCAAGGAAGTCAAATCAGCACCTCCAACACTTGATACTTTGTGAATAGATTCAATAATTTGTTGATCTTACGAACTACATGCAGCTTTCCTTGCTACTAAGAAACACTTTTGGCACAGATCCATAAGTAAATCAGCTGTAGTTTATATAAACCATAAAATGCGGACACTACAGTACATTACTAGCAATCAGATATTCCCTAGAGCTCCTAGTGCAATAAAAGGAGTATGCTGGGTTAGACGATCCATAGCCCATTTTGATTTAATGTGCTTGTTTGCTGATGTTACATAATTAATCCACTGCTTTGTGATTGAAGTACTGTTAGAAATGGCTCTCCTAAATCTGGTGTACCATCTTCTTAACTGAGGTACTTAGTTTTCCCAAGGCAGCCTTCACCTGCATGAAGTACATTGGTCTGAGCTTCCTCTGTTTTTCCACCTGTTTACTTTTAGTGGTGACAGTTTGTGAGGTGGGATTGCCGCAAGTTCCCAATGGGTGGCATTTTGTGTTGGAATTGTGAATTAGAGCCATAGAGATGTATAGCACGGAAACAGATCTTTCGGTGCAACCTATCCATGCCAACCAGATACCCTAAATAATCTAGTCCCATTTGTCAGCATTTGGCCCATAGCCCTCTAAACCCCTTTCTATTCATATCCCCATCCAAATGCCTTTTAAGTATAATTGTACCAGTCTCCACCCCTTCCTTTAGCAGCTCATTCCATACCCGATCCACCCTGTGCGTGAAAAGGTTGCCCCTTAGGTCCCTTTTAAATCTTTTCCCACTCATCTTAAACCTCTCTCACTAGTTTTGGACTCCCCCACCCTGGGGAAAAGACCTTTCTTATCATTATCAGTCAAAAGTTTATCACAATCAGTTTGTGTACCCAAGACTTACATAGTAAAGGCAGAGTTGAGGCTTTACAAATTTCCAAAAGGACCACGATCACTAGTACTTTCATTTCCAACCATGACTAACTTTTTACTATTTCCTTTCTTTCCCCCTCTGGTCAGGTACAATTTGTCACTTTTAAAATCTGTAGTTACGGAATGAGGGATACGTATGTCATAGAGCTGTACAGCACGGAAACAGACCCTTCGGTCCAACTCGTTCATGCAAACCCTTTATTCATTCACAGGATGAGGATGTCGCTGACCAGGCAGCATTTATTGCCCATCCCTAATTGCCCAGAGGGTAGTTAAGAGTCAACCACATTGCTGTGGGTCTGGAGTCACACGTAGGCCAGGTAAAGGATGGCAGTTTCCTTCCCTAAAGGACATTAGTGAACCAGATGGGTTTTGAAGTTGGGTAGAATATTTGCGGATTGGAAAGCAATACATTAGAATTTGATGTTTGCAAAATGATAAGGGGGCATTGTTTGTTTTCTTAGTAGTGTTCTGTTAATTTGTTCACTGTAGGAGTTAGATAAATGAATTGTTACTTGTTGATTATAGAGTGACTGTCAGGAGTTCATTTCGTTTAACCTGCCCTTTATTTTATTCTTCTTTATTCATTCGATGAGGGTGTTGCTGACCAGGCAGCATTTATTGCCCATCCCTAAATGCCCAGCAGGCAGTTCAGAGTCAATGACATTGCTGTTGTTCTGGAGTCACATGTAGGCCAGACCAGGTAACATAGAACATAGAACATAGAACATTACAGCGCAGTACAGGCCCTTCGGCCCTCGATGTTGTGCCGGCCTGTGAAACCAATCTGAAGCCCATCTAACCTAAACTATTCCATTATCATCCATATGTTTATCCAATGACCATTTAAATGCCCTTAAAGTTGGCGAGTCTACTACTGTTGCAGGCCGGGCATTCCACGCCCTTACTACTCTCTGAGTAAAGAACCTACCTCTGACATCTGTCCTATATCTATCACCCCTCAATTTAAAGCTATGTCCCCTCGTGCTAGCCATCACTATCCGAGGAAAAAGGCTCCCACTGTCCACCCTATCTAATCCTCTGAT